TGATTTTAACGTGTCACAAAGCATTATTATTCTTTTTAGTTAATCTCAACCATTTAAAAACATTAAAAACATTCTTAGCTCATGGGCTGTACAAAAACAGGCAGAAAGTCAGATTTGATCAATGAGTCAGACTTTGCCAATACTTATGTAGACTGAAAACCTTAGATTGCTGCCATTTCTGCCTCTATTCATGAAGAGAAGGAGGAGGAGGAAGAGGCAGAAGGAGAGAAGGAAGGTATTTTATGCTATAGCTCACTAAAGTCTACTCCTCGTGGTCAAAGTTAGCTCATTTTCTGTCTCTAGAATCACACTTGGACCTTTCCATGACTCTAGTTTTGTATTGTGAATATTGTACTGCCAAGGAAGTACTAGCTGCTACAGTCCCAAGGTCAGATTTAGGACTAATAACTTCCTAGGATTATGAGAGGAGAAAATACTCACTGACTTGCCCTTCACGCCATAAGAAAAATCATAAAATAAGGCAGTGCAATGTTGGTAAATTTTCAGATATCTGAGCTGCTCAATCTTGTTTGTGTCCATGTTGTTGGTGTAAGTTCTCATGCACATATTATATATAAACTGGAGCTCTCCCCAGCTACATTCAAACACAGACTTTTAGAAGGAAAAATCATAAAGAATTCAATTGGAACTTCTCAAGAAGGGAAACTAAGGCTAAGGCACTTGTACTTAGTATGATGTCTTTTATAATGATATCAGACTCAGTTGGGCATGGAAGGGTCAAATGCTTCTTAGAATATTAATGGCAGAGGGTATTGATCTGAAAAGAACAGGCCAAAGTAAGGCTAAAAGATAAAAAATAGCCTTTTGTTTTCACACACACACATGTGTTTATGTGTGCATGCATGTATTTTGAATTTGAGATTTGGTTTTGAAATCTTAGTGTCCACCTTGATGAGCATTACCTACCCGATGACCTAGTGTGAAAAGAAGTCATGATGCTTTCCTCTGGAGTACATACTGAACCTGTATTGAAACAATTATATTTACTTTTAATCATGTAATTAGAATACATCTCCATCTCCTGAACAGCAGAGATCCTCATAAACATTTGACCAAAGTCAGAAGTGCCATTAAAATTTCCAGACATAAAATAGACCAAAAAGAGAAATTTCTGCCTGCCGCGGAAAGTGGTAAGATTTCCCACCCAAAGAATAAATAACTCAAATAGAAAGATGAAGGATTTCTTTAGGGAAACACGATTCTGAAAAAAGAGGGAGGTTAGGAAGAAGGAAATTTTGTGGGGATCTAAGTGTGGTAGTATAAAGGAGTGACTACATTAACTACATCAGAAGGAGTTCCAATTTTCCTTACTTCTCATTTTATCACCATCCAGAAATTTGTCCAAATCATGAATTTTGCATATGGATGTCTTTAATGTGGTGGAGCCTAGTGATACAAGGTGGTTATGGGAAGGATAGATTGAGAAATGCGCAGAAGAGATTATAGGTGTCCTTTTGGACCCTTTAGGGGGTGATCCAAGTCTTTAAGAGTGTGTATCTTTGATTGCTGAGGCTATTTTGCAACTCCACAGGGATAGGAAACTGATAACTTATGGGAAGCTACAGGTAATGCAGATGAATCTTTTCCAGAGCAACAGAAATGAAATTGTCACTTAGAGATAGAATTGACTTAAAGAGTAACATTACCCCATAAAGTGGTTCTCAAAGTATGATTCGGAGTCCCCTTGATGTCCCAGAGATCCTTTCCAGAGGCCTAAATAGCCAAAACTATTTTCAGAATACTAGGATATATCTGCCTTTTTCACTTTTATTCTTTCATAAGTTTACAGTGGAGTTTCCCAGAAGCTACATGACATATCGTATCACCACAGATGAATGCAGAAGCAGATATGAGAATTCAGACGTTTTCTATTAAGCCAGATATTAAAGAGATTTGCAAGAACATAAGACAATGCTACTCTTCTCACTAAATTTGTGTTTGTTTTGGAAAGTACAGTTAATTTTTTAAATATATTACTTATGATTTAAAGTACTATCTCTCACCTCAAAATTATTCAACCATTATGTTTCTTCTAGTATTTCAGGGCTTTAACTTTTTACGTTTAAATTTTAGTACATTTTTCATTTATTTTGCTGCATGGCGTAAGGTAGGGATGTAATTCTTTTCTCAAGTGGTTGGCTAGCTTATTGACTAAACAAATTTTCTTTTCTTAATCATTTGAAATGGTACCTCTGTCATATATTAGACTCTTATATATACTTGGTTGTTTCTAGATCTTCTGGAATGTTACATTAATTTATCTCTATTTTAGTACTAGTTACTGAATTTTTAAAATATTAAAATTTTAGAGTATATTTTAAGGTATACTACAGTAAGGGTACCCTCATTATTCTTTTTCACATTTCTTTTCCAAAATAAAATTCTTAAGGAAAGCAAATATGTTCAAAAATAGTAAGTAAATATATGAATTATGTGTAAACTCTTAGTAAAGCATTGAATAGTCTTTTTTTCCCATTCCACAAAGATTTTATTTTTTTCCAGTTTTATTGAGATGTAATTGACATATAACACTGTATGAGTCTTACGTGGACAACATAATGATTTGATATGTGTATGTATTGCAAAATGATTAGCACAATAATTTTGTTTGCTATCCATTACCACACATAGTTACAATTTTTTTTCTTTGTGATGAGAACTTTTAAGATCCACTCTCCTAGCACCTTTCAAACTATACCAAACTGTGTTGAATAGTCTTTAGACAGAGTTGAAACCGAGTCTACTAAAACCCGAAAAGCCATATTGAGCAACTACAATGTGCCACATACCCTACAAAGTGCTTTGCATTGACATATGTGCTAGTTTTGGCTAATTCTTCTTGCTTAGGCAACGTCTCAACTCATGTTTTCTTCTTAGCTGGAATATAAGGCATCCAGAAAATAATAATGTATCTATTTAAAATTTACCTATATTTACTATTTTTTCTTTCCAAATCACTAGCCACTCTTTCTTATAATTAATTATTAGTTTGAAAAGAAAAAGAATTCTAATATATCTTTCATTTTCAGCAAGATTGCAAATGTGCTAATCAAAATGTCCATTGCTGGCCAAAAATAAGGTAGCACATTTTCCTTTCCTCTGCTATGGGCTATGAGGTTGTCATGATTCTGTAGATATTTGCCTGGGGAGTTTCCTCTCATCCTCCTTTATAACAGCAGTGAAGAATGACATGACAAGAGATAACACACATTGGCAATGTCATAAAAGATTTCATTCCCTAAAACTATCTGCTGTTTTTTGGCACAAAACATGGTAAATATTAACAACATTAACTACTATGGTGGTTAAGGTTATCTGTCAACTTGACTGACCATGAGGGGCCCACATTAAACATTATTTCTGAGTGTGTCTGGGTCAGATTAGCATTTGAATCAGGGGAGTCAGTAAAATAGATGGCCTTCCCCAGTGTGTGTGGACATCATCCAGTCCATTGAGGGCTTGAATAGAACCAAAGGTGGAAGAAGGAGGAATTCACTCTCTTTTATTTTTTTCTGCATCACTCATTGAGCTAGGACATCTCATCTCATCTTCTCTTGCCCTCTGACTGGGATTTACTCCATTGACTCCTCTGGGTCTCAGGTCTTTAGACTTGGACTGAATTCCATCACTGGCTTTCCTGCGTCTCTAGCTTGCAAATAGTAGATTGTGCGACTTCTCTCTTCCGTAGTCGTGTGAACCAGTTCCTCATAATAAATCTCCTGCTTTTGTTTCTTTTTCTCTGGCAAACCCTAATACAACTACCTTTGGTATAAAAAAAATCAAGAAAAGCAGCAGCAGTAACAGCTGTGGCATTTTAGGAACATGTTTGAGTGGCTACTCCATAGTTCCCTGTCATTTTAATTATTCATCCGTTTATTTGTGCTAAATATTTCCTAATCATCCCTTGTAAGAAGATTTAATTCTTTTCTCTTCTCTTTTTTCAGTTTAATTTGCATAACATGAAGCTACGTGTAAAATGTCTATATGGTTCTTCATATGAATGCTTCTTTTCTTTACTCAGTTCTTTAGGCTTTCTACATAAAATATCTTGGCATAGTTAACTTATTCCACATGTCACTGCCTTTGAAATTCCACGAGGGGTTTCCTGTGCTCTGTTGGCCTTTCCCACTTTCTTTCTTCTTTTTTTCTCTCCAGATTCTTCTGGGCAGTAATATCAAATAACTATGAGGACATCTGATACTTCCAGAGAGAGGATTTTCTAGCTGAAAAAAAACTTTTTGGAAACAGGAAATCATTTTTAGTTGACCGCATTCAGAGTTCCAAAGCTTTCAGCTTTGGAAAGTTTTATTTTATTGCTTTTTTATGTTAGCATAATGTAGGCTCCCATACTTAGTCTGGATGTTTTTCTTGGAATTATAACTCTAGAAAGTGATACATAAAAATGTTCTGCAGAATGTAGCCTGATATGTGTGCCAATAGTTCTTTCTTTCTTTCTATCTATCTGTCTATCTATCTATCTAAATTGTCTATCATCTATCTATCACCTCTGTAAAATAAGAAATGTATGTAAAACAACAGAGTTATATATTGCAAACAAATAAAACTAGCGTTATAAGTAGTGATGTACAACGTAGTATGAAGGAAATTATTTTGGTACTCTATAAAGAACTCTTATGAAATACATTATATTTGAATTTATATGCTTGCTCCTGAATATGCAAATTACTTTTATAAATTATAAAAGGTTTAGAGGAAGACAAGGGCTTGACAACACAATTATAGTGTGTTAATTTTGTTTATATGGAGACAACTGGCAATAGCACTACTTTGACCTAAAAAGTCCAGGTTAACCGATAGAATCTACAGTAAACCATTGAAGTTGAAGTAAACCAATCGGAGCTGGATAACATTCCCTCTCCACTTTGTTCGCCTTTGTCTACTCAAAATGTTAATTTCCAAGCAATAGAGAAAAAAATTAATACATTACCTCTTTCACAATTTATTTTTGGTTCCATTAGGTAAGACTCAAGGAGAAGATTGAAACATAGGTTAAGTGCTCACCATTTTTTAAAGGCCATCAGTTCATTTTGCATAACCGTTTTTGGAAACCAAAGGAAAAGCAAAGCTACTTCAGCATTTCTTTCCTGTATGCATCACATATCCTGAGGCACATGAAGAAGAATCAGCACTTCCTCTGGTGACCTGAGTTTGGGGCTACCTAGCACAGAATGAGTGACTTTGCATAAGCCATCATGAGGCCTGAGACTCTGGCCTCATCAGTAGTCATGGGAGCCCACGCTAAGGAAAAGTGGAGTCCAGGGCCACGTAATCTGCTTGAAAAGCTCTGAAGAAAACATGATGCACGGATCAAATTCCCGATGCTACTAGGAGGAGTGCTGAATATGGTTGCTTAGAGAACTTCAAGGGGAAGTGCCTCTCCTTACCCCTCTGTATGCTTCCTGTCACAGAGATCCATCTGGAATATCCACTACTGTATCTGTAGTGCTCACGACATTGTAGGTGTTCAATGAATGACAAGAGAACATAAAAAGTGTTATAAACTATCCCATAGAAATGATCGCACTGAGCGTTCCAGGCTCAGAGGGACCCTGGGCCACACTGAGGACTTTAGAGGACACCAGACATACAGAAAGCTCTAGTGAGAGATGACTGTCACAGGAGCTGCTACCAGGAGAGAAATCACTGGAAACCATAAAAATCACAGACAGCAGAGCGAAGTGTGAGCAGCAGTAGAAGGAGAGCTGCCTGGAGTTGCATCTGTTGCTAACAGGAATTGCCATTGAAAGCATCAATCTCAAAACTTCAGCTCCAAGCTGTCTGCTGGGTCACAAAGTTTGTAAGTGGTAGATTTAGAATTTAAGGGGCAAGGGGAAAAATGTAAAAAACAGATGACTCATGTTTTATCATTCAATTTAGAGCAATCTAGCATGCACTTTTTTTGCGGATTCACTGCAAGCTTAGCACAGTTGCTAAGCCTCTTATCTCTTTGAGTCTTAGTTTTAAACATCTATAACTTCAGTTGTCATCTCTTTAGGATTCAGGGGGAAGAAATGACTCACATGAGCATAACTCACATATGCCTGGGTTATACCAGAATCAATGACTCCACCACTGAAAAAAATTTTAAGCACCCACTTATGTTTGATAAATTGCACTGGGTTGGTTGCAAAAGGGAATGCCTAAATACGGTTCAGAGTGTCCCATTTCATAATTATTTTCCTGAGACGGCTCACCTGGCTGGGAACTGTACTTGTGTTCATTTTTTCCAGTTCATTACTAGGTACCTCCATTCAGAAAAGACCCATCTACGTAAGGGTTATTTTAATCGTATTACGGTGAAACTCATGCCAGGAATTGCTGGTATATTCACAGAGTGCTACGGCAGGTGTCGTGAGTGGATTTCCTGCTGAAGAGCCAGATTCCTCCAAAAGAAGATTATCAATTCCAAGGAAAGCAAGTGTGGCCAGCTAGACTGACGACTCCTGCACGTGGGTGTTGCCAGGTGAAATAATCTTCTTCATTCCAGACCACTGCTTGCCAAAGGGCTTGGACAGCCTGTTTAATATCACAGCCTCAGAATTTCCTTGGACTGTGCTAGAAGCATCTTTTCCAAATTCAGTGTTTTCAGCGCGCCAACTTAACCTCTCGTGTCCTTTATACTTAGCTACTCTTTTTCACTAAAATACTCAACATCTTTACACCTGAAACATGAGTCTAAAGAGATTGTCAGTAGTTGGACCATTGGAAATATGTTCCCAAAAGTAATTGGAGAAAACAAAATTGATTGCTAAAATGAGTTCAACATAAAATCTTAAGTGACTCTGTCTGATTTCTTCCAAGTGGATGGAAGTGAGATGGATACCAATGTCAACTTCTGTGTGCTGAGATCTCTTGCTACTGCCAGTAACATGGTGTCTTTCCTTAGCCACTGACTGTAGCAAAATCCTATCTTATTTTTTAATGAAAATTCTGGAAGATACACAAAAGTAGAATAAAAAAGGAAAAAGAAAGAACTCATGATTTTATATTCTCCTATGACTATATTGATGTATTCATCTGTCTAGAAAAATCCATTTTCTATATATGTACTCAGTTTTCTTGGCAGTTATTTGTTAATATTTATGGACCATGTGTTAGCCATGATCCCTAGATTTTCTACTTATTACTATATTTTATCCTCACCCAAATCCTGTGAATTAAGTAGTATATTTTACAGATGAAGAAACTAAAGTTCACAGAAGTTTGGTACCCCATACCACACAGTAAAGGAAAGACTGAGATTCACACCAGATCTCTCTAATTCCAACAGCCATTGTTAGCTCTTAGGATTTGTTGTCAATACTGCAAGGGAGCTCACAAACACAAGCGTACCTGAAAATGGATCACCCACAGGGGTAATAACCACCTTTTTAAGGGGGAAAAAATCGGGTTACGTTCCCTGAAAATTGTTAATCTATGTATTTATGGTTAAACTCCACAAGGCTGGAGACCACTGAGACCTAGACGTCCTCCTAAAGCCAATGTCACCTTTTACAATCGGGGACATTTGGCAATCCTAGGCGAGCCACATGGATTTATTTCTTACATATGTGGCGGCAGACGAATGTGCAGACACTGCAAAGCTCAGAGGAGCTCGTCCTGTAGACAATTTTGTCCCAGACGTGACATTTAAGTTCTCTCAGGAAACGTTAACTCGTTGAAGTTTTATGCAGTTCTAGCAAGAGCACAAGAGGTTTTAATAAATTTTTTAAACAAATGGACAGTTATTAAGAAACACAAGGCAGCGTAAACATATTTACTTTAGCTTAAAATGCACTAGAAAGGTTGGATTCAGATTTTCTTGATCACAAGGGTGATTATACACAGCTTAGCCAGGGTTTAGGAGTTAAGCAGCATATATTGAAGATCTCACCTGTGTCAACACCTGTTCTTTATCTCAGCTCCTCTGAAAAGTTGGGGTAATAACACCTCTGAGTGCTGTTGTGAAAGACAGTGAATGAATGATGGAGGAAAAGTACTCAGGCCTCTGCCTGAATCGTGGTTTCCATTCAAGAAAAGTTAGCAATTCAACACTAGAACAGGTTATTGGTCGATAGAATCCACAACTTGTAAATATATTCTTTTCTATTTTTCAATGAATTTTGCACAATGTTCCTTTTTATCTTGTAATAAATGATTTAAAATTCAGGAAAAAACTTCAAATATACGTAGTTAAAAACCATTGTTCCTAGACTTTCGACTCCTTGTTCTTTATGCCATACTTGCTCAGTATTCATGATTTAATTCAATATTAAGAGTGCTCCTTCCTATTTTACATCAATTGCCAAGTCATTTAAAGCACTAATCACATACCTTTATTATATTGATTAGCTTTGTATCGCTGTGATCTCTTAGTATCAAGTCATTGTTTTCTCTACCATTTTAACGATTTATCCAAACTCTAAATCACAATGTTTAGAACTACAAAATTGAAATAATCAGGTAGAGAAAAAAACTATCAAGCCCAATAAGCTTTAGCAAATGAGAAAAGACGGGTCTTAAGCCCAGTGCTGCCCTTTAGTCAGTGCAAGCTCGGGCAATCACTCATGAGTCCCGGGTTCAGCTTCCTCAACTGTAAGATGATCATCATGTGTCAGGCCTTCCTCCAAGGGTGTTGTGAAATAACATATTATATGTGAAAGTCATCTGCAAACTGTAGTCTGAGAGGATGAGAGCTTGTTTATTTAAACTTTGCCGTGAGATAGAAGATAAAATACGTGAAAAGCCCCTATCAGCAGTACAGTGCGTATGGTACGCATAATGTCGTGTGAGAGCTTATTTATTTAATCCCTCACAATGGAGGCTCTGTGGTGTGAGCTGAGGTTTTGTAACATTGTCAAGGCTTTCCAGAAAAGACGGCAGACCACACTAAGGAGAATCTGATAAAGATCAAATAAGTGGTCTTAAGAGAGTGTACTGTGGGTGTTCAGAGAGGGAAACAAGAACTAGGGAAACAAGAACTGTTCTTCAGAGAACAGCTACAAAGAGGTGCGTTTTTGACAGCAGCGTTGGATTTGGGGTAGGATTGAAATAAACAGAGGGCAGAAGGGGGAGTTCCAGGTGGAGGAAGAGCCCAAGCCATCACGTGTAGAGGTAGGAGCGTGCAAAGCCTGAGCGATGGACTGATTTGGATACAGCAGAACCTTCCTGCAGGGAAGCAGTGGGAGATGGAACTGGCAAGACCCAGCAAGTCTAAGTGGAATGCCAAGAGAATGATGTACTTTGTTAACACAGCACATTTGAAAGGAAGGCCACAGAAGGATTCTTGAGCAGGAGAATGATGTGGTAAAAACTGTGAACTCCAGATTCAGACAAACCAATTTCTAATCCAAATTGGCCTTTTACTCAATGTTTTCTTAGGCAACCCTTCCTGGACGTGCATGGTGCACTGGGAAAAGCGTGAGCCTGGGAGTCCACGGAGGACCTTAGGAATGTGAGGCCTCTTTTCTGGACCTACCTTTTGGCCAGCGTGGCGGGCAATGCCATCCTCTCGTATCCTGACTCTTTATCACTTCTGAAACCGTCTCGGCCACATTTTTCCTTCACTGAATTTCTATCACTGTTCTTCCATGTTAAGAGTACAAAAGCAGATTAAGAAATGTTTTCTCCTAAAAGTCCTCAAAAAAGTTCCAAACTGTCCTGTCTGTTATTAATTCTTTTTCCATCCCTTTATTTCTCAATCTCCTTTAGTTGGTCACATTGCCTTTCAGCATCCAGTGTATTACTACATTACAATTAGAAACACATGATTATATTTTTTATTTAATTATTTTACCCAGGTCACGTTGGCCTATAACACTGTGTAAGTTCAGGTGTACATTATTATATACCAGTTTCTGTATAGACTGCATTGTGCTCACCCCCAATAGTCTAGTTTTTATCAGACACCGCACATATGTGCCCTTTTAACCCTCACCCTACCCCTGCCCCTAACCCCTTCCCATCTGGTAACCACTAATCTGTTCTCCTTCTCCAAGAAACACAGGATTACATTTTAAGTGATCATTTCCTACCCAGATCCATCACTAAAATGCCCTTTGTCACTAACAAATTCTGACTCATATTTAATACTGTTTTAACATCAGAAATGTTCTTACTATTTAAAATTATCTTAAGCCAAGCTTTATGTAGAGAGCTTGAAAACTATCTTTGTGTCTACTGAGGCTCATGTCAATCATATTTTTGGCAAGAAAGAAAAATATTTGGTTCTTGAGTTGGGTCCCACATTGATTATTTAGGTACTGACATGCTAACAGTAAGGTTTTGCTTTCCTTTTCTTTTTTTAATCAGGGAAAATAAAGTCAATCTACTCATCTGCCCTCAGTCTCTCAAAACTGGAAGGAGGAGTGAACTTAAGTTTTCACATATTCCTTGATTTTTATCTTGGCTTCTGGAGAGTGGCAGAAGCCTGTTATCCTACAAACGTATGTAGATTTGGAACCGCCATTATTTGAACCATGCTCCCCAAAACCTAACTAGTACACAAAAGGCAAGTCTGCCGTAACCACTGAACCGGTAAAGAGGGCTGAGTAGAAGCAGTAAAGTTATCCCACTGAAGCATGAAATAGAACTATAGGAGCCTAAATGGCCACAGTAGAGAATCAGAACCACAATTTCTAAGTTTCTATTTCTTTCTTTTTCATAGACATGGGATATGATTTGAGGTAAATTGTCTCGAATTCAAGAATGTGTTTTTATTTTGTTTTTCACATTGTAAAATGATATAGATACTCTATATCCTAAATAATAATGGTCTATCTATGGATCAACTTGAGATCTTTGGAAAACAAACATTAAACAATGATGGAAATGCCCAATGGTGATTTATGAGTCTGGAAACCATGATAATATCATTATCATCTGAGTTTTAAGTTGTTATAAATGAGAATGGACTTAGAATGCCATTACTGGGAATTTATTCCCTATGTCTGTACATCAGTAACATTTTACAGATATAAAATGATCTTTTCAAAATGATGTTTCATGGTGTTTGCCTTCTAGTTTATTACTGTAACACTTAAAATGTTTAGAGTTGAAATTATCTGGAACTAGACATTAAAATGGTAAATATATATCCCTGGCTTTTCAACTAACTTGTTTGTGGTCTGTTATGATCTCTCTTTGGAGAATTATTTAGATAAGGCTGCTCTTTTTCAAAAGAAAATTTGAGATAATTAAAAGGGATTTTTATAAACAACTCTAATTCCTATTGAGAAAATCAGAATTTATCACTGAAACAAAACAAAATGCATGGACTCCTCATAAAACTAAAAATATCTCTTTCCACTTTTTGAAAGCTATATTTTCATAAATTGTATTTTCAAAGACAGCACTTCTCCCAGATGATGAAGTAAATTGAAAACTCAATGTTTTAAGTCAAAGAAAGAATGCTTGTGCTGAGGGGAGTAAGGGGGAGGAAAAGATGTAATCCTTAGACCTATACTTAATTCCAAGTACAGTTATCAATTCTCACCTTTTAAACTCAAGAAGCCATTAATACTTGTACAATATCAATTGTGCACATCTATGATGTGATCCAAATGATATGCGAGACATAGTCACTGGTTATATCCAAATGGGAGAAATAAGTGAATGTGTATCTTTGTGTGTACTTGTGTAAGAGTATTAGAATATACATGTAAATATCAGAGCACATTTTAGGAAACACGAGAATAAGGATAGATTTTAATACACTGTTACGGGAATGTGCACATAAATGGGAAACTGGAGACAATAGATTAAGTAAATCAGATAGTGCAAGGAAAAGGTGAGATTGCATAGTTTAGAAGGATAGGAAGGTGATTTGGCAGAGAGGAAGCAAAGAAATACCACGTGTCACATACCGCTATGTGACCTTCCAGAGCCACTCCCTCGTTTTTCATCTACTCTCTGCTTTAATAATGGGCCTGTGTCAACTACATCAACAGGACCCTGATGTTCTCTGGCTTCTGAATGAGTTGGGGACTTTATTTCTTCCAAGTTCTGCTAGTTTCCTCCTTTCCTCTGCCCTTTGGGATTAAGAGTGATAACGCCTCATTGTTGCTGGCCCCTATTCCTGCCCTATCTATGGTAATGCACTTCCACTCCACTCAAACTTTTATAATATGTCACTTTGTAAATACATACTCATCTAATGATCTCTCTTCTGTGGGGATCTTGGCTGATGCATTAGTTGATACCAGTGGTGGCCCCAGGAGACAGACTCACTGAAAAGAGATTCTGGGATTGGTACATCGTATACATGAGGAGTGCAGGGATGACCTTTTTGCTGGGGGTGTGAGGAATCAGATAGCTGTAATCATTGGCATACTATAGCATCATCAATATTCAGGTTATCACTATGGTTGCATGGGATGATGAGCTAGCAGAGATCAAGTGGCTGTGGCACTTAGCTGCTCCAACAGTTAAGATTTTAGATTCAGGGCCAGCCCAGTGGAGCAGCGGTTAAGTGCGCATATTCTGCTTCTCGGCGGCCCAGGGTTTGCCAGTTCGGACCCTGGGTGCGGACATGCCACCGCTTGGCAAAAGCCATGCTGTGGTAGGCGTCCCACGTATAAGGTGGAGGAAGATGGGCACAGATGTTAGCTCAGGGCCAGTCTTCCTCAGCAATAAGAGGAGGATTGGCAGTAGTTAGCTCAGGGCTACTCTTCCTAAAAAAAAAAAAAAAAAAGATTTTAGATTTACTTACCTTCTTACACTCCTAGAGAATACAGACAGGGAAAAAGAGAATTAAAACTATGAACATGTAATTACAAATGTGCACAGAATCACAAGGTCTCCTAAGTAACTCTGAAGGAGCCCCTCTCTCCTATAGTCACCTGAAAGATATAGCTGACAACCAAGCTCGCATTATGATTGTAAGGGTTGCAGAGTCACAGCACTAATTATAAACGGGGCCTTCCAGATCCCTCATGCTAAGAGAAAGGCAACTATCAGGAAACAATGGAACCCTGGCTCATTGGTGGGACATATTGATATAGATGAAATTAAGAACTCTAGATTTCCAAATTCCCTTGCTTTACAAGCAAATATTGACTCTTATCCAATAGTGGGCCCATAATGAGAGTTAGAACACAGCATAACCTGGACTGAAGGTACAAGGACTATTCAAAAAAAGAGGAAAAAAGTTTCAAGTAACCTCCCCAGTTAAAAAAGTCCTAATCCAGCAGAAGTGCTTGCAGAGGCTAAGGGAATACAGAATTGGATGGTGGAAGTAGGCAGTTATGATACTCAATTTATGCTAGTGATTGGCTACAGAGGGAGAATTTAGAAGTTGTGTCTTATGGTACCCCACTATTTTTTTCTTCCCTTTCTACCATTAGTTTCTTATTTGAAAAATAGCAGTCATAGCTAACATTTTAGACTTCAGGAAGGAATATAACTGAATTGATGTTACCCCATGATGATATGATGGCTGACAAGACTGTGTTCTCTCTGATTGCAGACACAGGCTTTCCATCAGGACAAAGAAAATATTAGGTGCTGAAGGCAAAATAGGCTGACTCTTCTTTTTCTACAACAAAAAGCCCTCGATATCCTCTGATTTCAAGTCAAGGGGAAGCCTAGCAGAAGGTAGGAAGTAGGGAAGAGAGTGATGTCATGGAATTTACTCCCTTGCTTCCCTTTTGGTGAAATTACCTAGGACTGGCTGTGCCCTCCATGGGAAGCCCCTGCTCCTCCGCAGATGGCCTTCTGTTCCCATCTCTTTCCTGGTGAGTCCCCTTCTCATCTCTCTGGATATGTGGTAGAGGGCAATAAGAGGTCTATTGTGGTTTATCCTGGGTCCCTGCATAATTCAGTTGTTTCCTAAACTCCATTCACACCTTGGTCGTTTGCCCCTTCATAAATAAACCTTCCTTAAGCTACTTTGATATGAATGGGCCATCTGTTTCCTGCGAGGAAGAACCCTGACTGACACTTAGATGACTGATAACAAACATGCCAAAATCAACTTTAGAGTATGCAGAGGCAAATTTGGCAAGCTTCATTGTAAAAAAAAAAAAAAAATTAAGTTCACTGAGAATTTTCCTCTAGTGTGTATCTTTTCTGAAAAAGACATCTAAGAGAACAAAGGTTTTAAGCTCCAATCATTTCTGAAATGATACTGACATTTTCCATGAAGGATGCTAAATGTCCAAGTCATGGAAAGTCTGGGATCTAGAGTAATGCTTTGGAAGCATTTAGTGAAAATGATCTCTTCTAGGAGCCTTAAAAAGGTCTACTAAAACACCACTAATACAGAACTAGTTACCATAATTATCTTTCTAACCCCTCCTCTTCCCATTTTACGTCTGTATACTCGGTCTAAACAAACATGACATCATCATGTAAATCATGTGCTTTGAGAATTTTCAAGTAGTGATGGTAGACTTTTACTGATCCATTCAATTTCACTTGCTTATTTCTCTCTGGGGACTAATGGTGAATAGTCAGAGAAGGTAACTCATCTGCCATTAGGTTTCCTATCTGGTTACCTATCTACTAATGGGTTAAAAAACTTCCCAAAGAGTAGAAACACATTCTAAGTAATTAAAATCCATTAGGTTTGCTGGCTCTTACCTAAAAATCTAAACCAAACCAAACAAAAATGAAGCCAAACATTGTCCTAAGGCGGAATTAGGTTTGTTGTTTTTCTTTCATTATCAGACACATTCATTAATTCAGCCAACACTTGAACATCAACAAATGTTAGTTTAGTTACCGGTAATTAAAAGAAAAAATAATACGTGAATCATCGTTTTGGGGAATGTCTAGTCCAGTCGGGAAGAATAATGTGAGACAATGTGAGATAAGTAACAGTAAGTCGTGGACACACATAGGAGAGGCATCTAAGTCAGATGGGAGATGGTCCAGAAAATCTTCCTAGGGACGTGACAAAGGAGAAAAGTTTTAGAACAAATGGAATTAGATAGACCAAGAAAATGGGCAAGAACATTCCTAAGAGAGGGACAAACACCTACAAAGATTTGAAATAGCATCATGTGTTCAGAAAACCACCAATGGTATTTTTTACTGGAGAAAAGGGTGAATATGGGAAGGTGACTAGTTTTAAAGCATGAGAAGTAGGCAAGAACCAGATCATAAAGCCAGGAATAAGGCTACAAAGTTGACACTTCATACAGAAAGTTATAGTGCTATATCATTTAGAATGCTGTTGGTTATAAGGATCAGAACGTCAGAACATGGCAAATGGCTTAGAAATAAGGAAATGTACTGGCTTGTAACTGTAAGTCTGCATAGGGTTGGCTTAGGGGTTAGCTCAATCCAGGAGCTCCCAGTGATTTTCTGAAGTTTGCTTCCTCTGTGTGTTGGGTCCAATTTCAAGCTATGAAAATGCCCCATGGAGGCAAAATAAATGTCACTGTCCTTGGACTCCTGTGTATACACCACAAGGTCCAGAGGGAGAGAAGGGGCTTCTACCCCAGCATTTGAAGCAAGAGTTCTGAGATTCACCCAGACTGCAACTTTTTAGGTCACATGCCCACCCTTACACCAACCAGGGTTCAACCCTGGGAGTGGGAAAATTTCCCATGAGGCACATGTGTCAAATTCTCAAAACTTAATCATTTCACAAGTAATGGAACTAGCCTCTTTTTAACGGTACATTTTTCTAAAAACCTTAACTAATGCTATCTTAAAGAGATGCTTTACTTTTTTCCACCTGAGTAGGCCACCATGGTCAAATGATACTAAGTCTTGGAGAAAAATGTGACACGTTATGAGCCAACTGGAATTTCATTATGTTAGTTACATTAACTATGTGGTGAGCACCATAATTTCAATATCTGTTCCCCTTTTCTAAGAATTTAATGAAAAGTTTTAATTAACCAGTATCAGTATGGCCAAAAATAGTGTCACAGAGTCTAGCATGGATTCTGTGAACGTGCTCTGTATATTATTTATTGACCAGTCCATACTGAGATGTCCAAATTCTGCCTCTGGCATTTATTACTGAATTCCTACTTCTTTGTAGATTTTTCTTCAACATACAATCTTTGAGGATGGCATCTTTGTCATTTGATTCCTTGAAGAAACTTCTTCCCTCTAATGTGCTTTGCACAATATCGCCTGTGCCCTTTTGACACATTCCCTTTGGTGGCTGCATTCTCTCTTGGGTGGTCTGCTTCTCTCACCTCAGTGGTGGCAGGTGCGTTTTAAGCCCCTTTTGTGAGAAGTCATTTTTTGTTAGGAGTCCGAGTTGTTCACAATGCCATGACACTTCCCAAAAAAGAATATTAAACACAAAAAGATGA